GTACTCAAGAGAATCTTTATTGCGAGATATAGTCATATCCAAGAAGTTCAACTTATTGTCAGATTCTGGTTCCAAAGTAAAAGAGATGTTGGGATGAAGGTTATTAAGATCTTCCAGAATCTGTAAAGCATCATCTTGGGATCCTTGGATCAGAGCTATACAATCATCAACGTACGTTGACCAAAAAATTATTTTGTTGTTGTTGTTAACAAATTTCTGTTCTAAGCTGTCCAAAAAAATATCAGCAAAAAAAGGTGATAATGGAGAACCCATGGCTAAACCTGTCGGTTGTTTGTATATTTTTTTGGTTAAATTGGAAGAAGTCTTGATCAAGGCAGAATTTGAGCATAGTTGAGATACTAGCATCTTTGTCTTTAGCCGGTATGTTGCAATAGTTTAAAAGGTTGTGTACTAAAGGTAATGTTTCATCTCTTGGTACAGAAGTAAACAAATTGGAAACATTAAAGGAAACCAAATAAAAACTCTCTTCTATTTTGATATTATTTAAACGTTCTATTAGATCTAAAAAATTTGTAATGGAGAACTTGGGTTTAAAATTAATAATAGATTGAATTGTGTTATAAACAAACTCTGACAATATAGAAACTGGAGTGTTGCAAAAACTTACAACAGGCCTAATGGGACAATTGTATTTGTGAATTTTAGGAAGTCCATATAACCTAGGTGTTATAGGGTTAGATACAATTAACTTTCTGTTGTTATATTTAGAGATAGTATCATTAAACGATTTAACCATTGCTTTTGTTTTATTAATAAAGGTGTTAAGTGGATTTTTTTCCAAAGCTACAAAATTATTATCTGACAGAAAAGATTCTACTTTTTCGATGTATTGAGTTTGTTCTAAAATTACAATTTTAGACAAAAACACAATTTCCCTTATCAGCTTTGCTAAGGACTAGAGAATCTCTATCGTTTTTTTGTTTAATTGATTTTAGATTTTAGCAAATCCTTATGTTTTTTAAAAGAATGATGATTTCTATGAAAATTACGTTTGTACTTACATTGTTGTTGTTGAAGTAAGCTAATGCAAGAATTTCTCAAATATTGATATCAATATTTATCTATGTTACCATTAGAAATCGAGTCGGTAAATTGAAATTTTTGCGCATTTGCTACGATGTTTGTTCAAAAAATCATCAAATATTATGAGAAAGCAGGGGAAAGGACGTAGCCGTGAAACCGGCCAAATCAGTCGTCTGAGAGTTGTCAGGAGAGGTGCGTGTGTTTATTGTGAAACTGCTGAGTTACCATTGAAAAAGGTGAGTTTTTTAGATATTTAATTATTTTATTGACTATTACCTCAAAATACGTATGATTTCTACAAGTGCGTTACGTATACACTGTGTTACGGCAAAAAGTAACTCAGTTGTAGCTATAGTAACGCAGTAGTTAAATATCAAGTTTTTACTTAATATTTACCCACTTAATAGTTAAAATAATCTACTTCAGGATTATTTTGTTACAGGTATCTATTTACAACATAATGGCTTTAACACCGGCTAAAAACAATGACGCTACAGGGAGAAATTCAAACAGGATCCGATCAAAAATGCCGATAGCAAAAAAAAAACATCTTAAAATATATCACTCCAATAAAAAACTTGTTCCAGATATGATATAGAGAACACAGGGAGAGAACATAGAGATGCAAAGCGTAAATGGAAGAAAGCAAACAAAAAACGCCAAGAACGTCAAAAGCGAGCAGGAACTCCTGTTTCTCCACACTCTCGAGGAAGACGACAAGTAAGACGAGAGCAATCTGCATTGTACAGGCAAAATATAAAATTAAAGGAAGACAATGAGATGCTGAAAAAGAAATATAACAAGTACAAGAAAAGATGCCAAAGACAGAAACACAAAGCAAATAAACTAGAGGACGGAGACAAAAAATACGCAACTTTGTCGAACGCCATCAGAGACTATTACTCCAAAATAAAGACTGTAAGAGATCGGTTAGCAATACGACGAATTTTTTATAGAGATGTTATACGAAATTCAAAAATGAAACTCGCTATTGTGAAAGAAAGTCTCAGTATTATTACGCTAAAGAAACCACAGATTGCACCAAAACAGGCCACTCTGGCAAAAAAATTTAAGATGTTTTATGATCGTGATGATATTTATAAAACCCCTACTGAAAAACGAGAAACCGTGACCTACAAAAAGAGTAAAATGCAGAAGAGGTACCTGCTCGATACAATGAAAAATCTTTTTAATTCTTTCAAGAGAGAAAATCCTGACGAGAAATGCTCATACTCTTACTTCTCCAAGTACAGACCATTCTACATAAAGCCACCAGTAGTTGGTGGCAGGGATACCTATCAGTGTAAGATGCATATTAATACACAATACATTCTGAATGCTCTTTACAGCAAAAAAATCATATCAGAGTCAAACATGACCCAGATTATTGAGAAGACTGTATGTGCAACTGATAACAGACTCTTGCAGTACCAAAGATATAATATATAATACACAAAATCAGTCACAAACTCTTAAATGGCAACAATGGGCTCGGAGATCTGAGATTATTACTGACAAATCCGGAAATTACAAGAAAGTTATGAAAAACGTAAAAGAAATTACTGAAGGCACTGTCGAAGAATTGATAGACAAGTTTAAAGTGGCAATGACAGAGATCAAGAAACATATTTATAATATTAAAATGCGATACAAAAGTTACCGATTGGCTATTGATGACTTAAAACATAACGAAGCTCTTCTACATGTCGACTTCAGTGAGAATTCCAACGGAAAATACTTTGTAAAATTTCAATCACATCATTTTGGAGGATCGCACAAGCAAATTACATTGCATACTGGTGTTTGTATATAAAACCACAAGAAGCAGACAAAGCACAAGTTAGTTCATTTTGCAGCATGTCACAATTGCAGCACAATCCTGCAGCCATTTGGGCACATCTTCACCCAGTAATTAGCACATTAAAAGCCAATCATCCACACATAACAACAATCCATATTTGAGGAGTATAGCTTAGCTTTGATCGCATCACCTGGACCTTTTTTTAAGCAGGGCACGGGAAGGACGCGGCTGATGGTGTCGGTAGCTACCTTAAACGAACAGCAGACCAAAAAGTGGCTTCTAGCTTAGACATGCATAATGCGGAGAATTTTTTTCTCGCTTTAAAAGACTGCAGCAAAATTCAGTTGTATTTCATAACTGATTGTGCCTCTTCGCGGTACGATGTAGGTACCTGAAGTTTTCTCGGAAACTGCTGGTAAATTGTACTACCGTGATCTAGGTTGCTTTTGTCAAAGGGGTCTTTGCGACTGCTTGTCACCTAAATCATATCAGCTAATTCCTATTTCATCCAGCAGTATCAGCCAAATGTCTGAAGGAAATGAAGCGAACGATACTGTTAATAATAAAAGTTCTGAAAGAAATGCGCTTGAATTTATGAACGAAAATGAAGTATTCACTGATATATCTAACATCATTACCAATCCCAGAAAGAGTTTTTACGAAATGATTTATTCTCCAACTTCTAGGCCAGATGATGATGAGTCTCTTTTAAATATTTTACTTGAAAAAGGAAAATAAGCTTCAGTTTCTAATTCAGTTGATAAAAAATTAATTGAAAAAGAAAATTTACAGCCATCAAAAATATCTGTCGGTGTTTAAATACTAGTTAAAGTTTCATCCAACAAAAAATCATATTCTTATCTGGGTGTCGCCCAAAGTGATGTTGACGACGAAGTGGATGTCAAGATTATGTTTTTAAAATCAATTGACGATTCAGGAAAGAAGTTTAAACTTATAGAAAAGGATGTTTCATATGAACCATATGAAAATATTAAAGAAATTGTACCAAATCCTAAAATAACAAAGAAGGGTAAACGTGAATTTTACGAATTTGATGTTCCATCAAATGTATTTGAAAAATGAGACTGAACAGACAAAGACTAATGTATATTGTTTATGATTATTAATTTGAGATTTTCTGATTTTTTATTCACAGAGAATTTTTGTTTGATTTGATATATTTTATTTTTGTTTTCATTCTGTTTTTATTAGTTTAGGGCAAAATGAAATATCATGATGGGAAAAGTTAGTCATTATCTTACTCATTAAACTGCTGGGTTACTTTTTTGTCTCTTATTTTTGGAAGACGTTAAAGGGTATATTACTAAACGTACTGTTAAATATAATCAAATTTTATTCGTTTTTTGATTATTTGAAGTATTTGAATTGACTCTATAAATTGTAAGCTTAAACTGCTATTATTTTCTCATATTTTAAAAAATTAAAACTACTTAAATCAAAATTAGGTAACAAAGTGGTAAACTTAACCGTAAAGTAAGATAACAGACTGAGATTTTGCATGATTTAATGTTATATGATTAAAGGTCTCCTATTTTATGTTCATATAATAGGTTTATGTTTGAGATAAACGCTGTTACTAACAATAAAACTTAATTTTGTTAGAAAGTAACAAGGTTGTTATTTTTCTATACCCCGCCTAATATAACAATTAAATAAAATCATAAATAATTAAAAATTATCTCTGCAAATAGCTGTAATATACTCTAAATAATAATCTTGATATCACAGTATGACAAATATTCTTTTTGTCAAATCTATTCAGCATAGGCCCCATAATAAAATAATGGCTCAAAAACCCTTAATAAATTGTTCAAATCATACACGTACCTAATAAAATGCGTACTATACAATTTTAGTCATGATTTCTCAAGTTTACGGTCATTCGAATCTAAAATCCTCGGCGTTACTTCGAAAAAATCCGTATTACAATTAAAAAAATCATCAGGACACGTTTTTCATACCCGACACAGCACAACTAATATGGGCAAAATATTAAAATCGTCCTAATTTACACAAAAATGTATAATCAATTTCAAACAGCTCTGTTTACGGGCAACATAATTGCCTTCCTACACAAGCTATGCATATACATAACTTACTGTATATATAACAATAACAAACAGCTGAGCCGAGTGCGAATATGTAATCCAAAATGGTGGGGAAGAATTCGACATTCGAACCGTCAAACCAAATCAAACTACACACCACACAACTCTTAGTAGTGCTACCGGACAGTTGTGGTCGTTTACGAGTCACGCTTTCTTATTATTGTAACTAAAACTCGCGCGAAAACATGAATGAAGTGGACAAGCCATCGGTTAACAATTTTCCGACCGGGCGCACGAAGATAGAACCGGCGGTCAATCACCATGACCGGAAAAGTTTAGTGATCAGGAAGGAATCCCAAGTGTCGTTATCCAGTGTTTCGGATTATCTTTCAGATGAAAGCGAGGACTATGGAGTACAGATCGAAAGGAAAACATCACTTCAGGAGTTAGTTAAGAAAGTTGATGATAAGAGAACGGTAAGTTGATGTAAAATACTATATTGTATCTAATAATATTGTTAGGTAATTTACATGAATAAAAAATATTCGATTATTTTATCTTCCTTACAACTTGCCTTATTTGAGTAAAATTGCACCACTTACTCATCAGCTTATTCTTATTATTCTTAAATTATTTATATATCTATCGAGCTTTAGTCTATCACTTTTGGACATATCCTCCCTTGTATTTTCCATTGCTGTTGTGATTCCTCCAGCGCGAGTATTTTCTTAACACATTTCTTCTTCTCCTTTTTAAGTATTTCATATCATCTCTTGTAATCCCGTGATCGCAAGTACATTATCTTCTTTTTCCATCTGCCATAATTTAGTGGAATGATATGACCTGCAAATTTCCAATTTAATTTACTGCTTGTCTAGTAGCGTCTACCATTTGTGTGACTTCCTTAGTTTGTTCCATTATTTTGATTATACGTAGACCTTAAGCCTTACGTAGTCTAGTTGAGCTGTATCTTCTTCTTCTTCGTCTAGCCATTCACGTCCACATCTGAACATAAGCCTCTTCAAGTCGTCCTTTAGCTATATACCTATAGCCAATTCTATTATCTTATAACTACATCTTTCTCTATACATTATTCTGTAATTTTCCTAAGATATGTATCTCTATACTCAGTTCGATTATTTTGTAATACTTTTATCCACACAATCGGATTCTTTTTGAACAAGTTGTCTTGTTCTTCTTAGGGTGTCTTCTTCTTTCGAAGGTTGACGATGATCATAATGACTATTTAAATGCTGCGTACTACTGATCTGAAAGATTAGAAGAGCAGTTAAACCAATCTCGGAGGTTGCGAAGCTAAGAAGTTACTTTCTCCAACTCTACGTTGTGCCATGATCTTTTTTATCGATAATAGCTTAATATCGATGGTATGATACATCAATATGTCAAAGGGTTGTATTGTTTCATCACAAATTTAGTGTGGTTACCTGCTTCTATTCCATATAGAGTACAACCGGGAGAAATGATCGACCTTTTTTAAAAATCTCGTAGAAAAAAAAATTTAAAAAAATCTTTTTTTATAGAAATATATTTCCAAACACTAAATTATCGCGAACATCGTAAGCACTGTATCAAAATTAAAGAACGTAACATATAAATCATATTTTGACAATCTCTTCAGATGTGTAAGTGTTAGTAGGTCATTTACGAGAAATAAAGCTCTACAAAAAGATTTATTATTAACTAATTTGATTAACTTAACTATTCTGACAAATTCTACTAATAGATTTTTTTCGCCAAAAATTTAATTTGAACAGTTTCCGAGAAACCACATTTGGCAATGTAATATTTAATCTAATCATTTTTTTAACGTTTCTTTATATTGTTTTCCACAACCAAGGCACTCGGTGTCATCTTTCACTAGAACTATTATATATATATATATATATATATATAATATATATATATATATATATATATATATATATATATATATATATATTCCAAAAATGCCCTTTCGAGTTACATCATAGAATGTTTTCGAAATAATAAGTGCATCATAACTGCAGTTACCAGGTATATATGAATAATGCTACTAAATATGAGGGTAAGAAACCTTTAAATGATTACTTTGTTAATTAATACATATTTGTTGACAAATTTAAATGGTGCTGTAGTTTTAAACAGATTTGCTTTATGGAAATGCGAGACTCCCAGGGATTGCTAACCCAAGAGAAGGTACTCCATATGAGTATGAGTACTCCATATATATGAGTACTCCATAGCAACTGATCGAGTAAAAATACTAACAAAACCATAGAGCGCCAACCTAAAGGAAAACAAGAATCTTGTAACTTTTTTTACCTGTATTATAAGCCAGCTCAAGTTTTTAACAAAACGCTTGGAAGTAGGTAAATAGAAAAGATGGTAAGAAGTCTTTTACCGATTGTGGCCTTAAACCAGATGCTAGAATCAAAACGAGAAACAGGAGAAAGGAAGAAAAAAGACAACAGAAAAAGAAAAACGACGATTGGAAGAAGAAAGACGGAAAGATGACGAAAGACGTGAAAAAGAAAACGACGATTGGAAGAAGAAAGACGGAAAGATGATGAAAGACGTAAAAAAGAAAAAAGACGATTAGAAGAAGAAAGACGGGAAGATGATAAAAGACGTGCGGAAGACGAAAGACTTAAAGAAAAAGAAAGACGGAGACCTGAGAGAAGAAACGACGAGGATAGACGAAGACGTGAACTGCGAAATTATGACGAAGGACGACAAATATGTGATGAAAGACGTAGATATGAATGAAGTAATGACGAAGAAAGACGAAAATACAATACATAAAGAAATTGGAGAAAGAAGTTATAGCGCAAGCAGTGACGCTGAAGTTAGATTCGTGAATACAGGAGCGACTGGTATAAGACGACAGGAATCATTTGCATTAAGTGTTAGAGACGTGGAGTACAGCATAAGATCATTTGATGGAAAAGACGAATATCCTATTCGCATGTGGATTATGGAATTTGAAGAAGTAGCGGAGATAACAGGGTGGAACAACCTACAAAAATTGATCTATGCAAAAAAATGTTTAAAAGGACTCGCCAAATTGTTTGTGCAGTCAGAAAAAGGCATCAGAAACTGGCCTGAATTGAAGAGACGTTTAATAGAAGAATTCAGAGGACAGGTAAATAGTGTGCAGATACATAAGATGTTGATGACGAGACGAAGAAAAGTTGATGAGACTGTACAAGAATTCATGATTAAAATGAGAGAAATAGCTAATCGAGCTTACTGAGATCAAGAAGTTGTTATACAATACATAATTGATGGAATACAAGACGAATCATCCAATAAACTAGTGCCATATGGAGCAAAAAAATGTGCAAAGTTTAAGAAGAAAATTAACTTAAAATGTGTAAGAAATCTATAAGGAGAAATATTTAGTTGCAATAAAAAGAACCAAGTTCGACCCAGGAATTAAACTCAAGATAAAGTTCTTAGATCCTTACGAGATTGTCAAGGTTAAAGATAACAATCGTTATGATGTTGTAAAGATTGGTGAGCATGAGGGGCCAATGCGAACATCAACGTGTGTTGAGTATCTTAAACCGTGGGTCTAAAATGAAAGCGACGAATCCGAGTCGGATTCTGAATAGGATGGCCGAGTGTAGGATTGCATTCGTCATTAAATAAACTTATTAAATCCTAGACAACACGAAAAACCCTATATATATATATATATATATATATATATATATATATATATATATATATATATATATATATATATATATATATATATATAATTAGATAATATTAAGATTAAATATTAATAATTAGATAAGTTATACTTTTATTGTTTGTTTTTTATAGTTAGATGAATCGATTACAGCGACTGAAATGAATCTTTAATCCTTAATCTCATTAAAATCAGCAGATTATTGCACTCTTTATGTTACATAGTGCTATACAGTACGAGTATAGTGAAAATAGCGAAAGAGATATATAGGGAGAGTTCTGTTATGTCTTTTTTACTTCCACTTTAATATATAATAACATAGTGTTTGATTCAGCATTAATTATACATCTTATTAAATGTCACTAAACTTGGTAAGTACACGTTATATAATACATATTCGAACATTGTGAAACAACTTGTTTTTGTTGACTATTTCTAAATAAATTATTTCGGTAATATATCATTCCCATTATAATGTAGTTGATAATAAACAACACTTTATTTCCATACATTCGTCAGTATTAAAAAAGCATTATCAGTTGACCTCTTTATATTTACTATTGAACAAAACCAAATAAATAATAAAAAAAGAAATAGATAACAAACTAAGTAAATTGATATATATATATATATATATATATATATATATATATATATATATATATATATATGTTATAAACCCCGCTTTAGGGTTAAGTCGTACAAGATGTCTAGATCAAATTTCTTCTGTGGATTCCTTCTTTTGCTTATTTCATCATCCTAACAATTTCTCCCCATTTGTTCCTGTCTCTACTTTCTCCCTGCCATTCGCTGACTTTTACATATGTCGGTTTTCTTTAACTTCTTCTTCTTTCTCCTGTATTCTATTGTATAATTGTGTATGTCGTTATCTGCTAGCTAGAAAGTGGCCTAGATATCCAATTATATGTTGCCTAATTTTTTTCTGTTGCTTTCTTCTTAATATTCATCTTGCACTGGTTTGTTTGGTCCTAGTTCTCATAATCTTAATCTCCACAATTTGTGAGTCTTATTCATATTAATGATAGTTCTATTGATCTCTATTTTGCTTTTTTAAGTTTCATTTGCAAAGTAAGTCTTTTTCACTGTCAGTAAGTTTTCTTTTATTTTTGAATTTCATTATCCGATTTGTTTTTGTTATTTTGGGTATTTACAATTTTCGACTTCTTCCTACTTTACATTTTATATTTTAATTATTTTTTTAATTGGTCTTTTGCCCTAATATTAATATTAATTCAATCTGGCCCAATGTCTCCTCTTTCTCTTGTAGTAGGGATTTGAAAAACCTACCGGTTTTAACCGAAAAGCGGTTTTTTACTTCGCAATAACCGGTTTTATCAGTTGTTTTTTTGTCCAGGTTATATCCGGTTTTTTATTTTTAAAGTAAAAAGCAGTTATTAGGTTTTTAGGGTGATTAGGAATATCAAGTCGAATGAAGTATCGCAAACTAAAGTGCATTGTAAGTATAACTTTGTAACCTATTGGATTAAAAAAACCGAAAACCGGTTTTTGGAAAAATCAGTTTTTTGGCCGATTATAACCGCTAGGTTAAACCGTAAGAAAAAAAACGGTATAACCGAAAACCGGTGTTTTGTCAAAAACACGTAGGGTTTCTTTCATTACGTTTTAGTTCTTTATAACTATAAAAATATCGTGTCCATAGGTAAATATTTGTTCACCTTATTTCTTGTTTTCATATTGCCTTTGTTTGTGTTTCTTAATACATATTTCAAGGCTAGATTTAAGAACATTGTTGATGGC